TGATTGTTTTTGGTATATTACTACTTGAAAACGATAATGATAATAAACTATTTTTCTTAAATAAAATATCCTTTTCTCAATTATATTGAATCACTACTATCTTTTTGCATGAGAGGAGACCATAATAGTGTAAGAGCCACTGGCAATGGTTGAAAGACTCAAAGTTTGAAAATCATTTATTTTTTTTTAAAGTATTGTATATATTGTTAAATTATTTTATGAAACTAAAATAGAATAATTTTAAAAAAAAATATAATATTGAAATATAAAGTTATGAAAATTGATTCAAAATTAACAGATGGCAGATGGTGTAAAAATCTTAAAAATTCAATCTGATATATAAAAACCTTCCATATTCCTATAAATTGCTTTTTATTAAAGAAGGTGCATTTTTCTAATAATTTAATTTTTTTTTATCATATCTCATTTATAGCTGGCATTTCAATTGATTTGGAGCATATTAACTTTTTAAATCTATAAAAATAATCGAAAGTCAAATAATATTTAAATAGATTAATTGAAATTTATACTTATTTTCAGTGTAAAATTTTATTAAAATTCTAGTAGAAAATATGAAATAAAAGTATATTAAAGATTGATTAAGATATTTTTAAAGGAACAGTTATATTTATAAATTTTTTGCTTGCGATTGATTATTCAAATAAAAATTTAATAAATTGATTTTTAAGTATTTTGAGGAAAGTTTATTAAATTAAAAGGGATCAAAGATAGAGAGAAAATATTATTAGATAAGAGTTATAAGCTTTTGATATTTAGATCAGCAGATTTTTATTGACTATAATCTTGATATTTGATACCAATAGTTCTGTAATTCTGTAGATCTAATTGTTGTAATGTTATTTAAAAGACTACTAGGAGTATTTTAAGTTAGAATTGAACAATTATAATCATAGTAGTTAAAAACATCAATAATCACAAAAGAAATACAATTGACCAAACTTTTATAATAAAAATCTATTTAATTTTCAAGAATCACATTAAACCTTAAGGGAGAAAAACCCATATTTTATTAAATCATATATTTCTACTCATACCTACATCCATCTAATTTTAAAAAAATTCTATTTATCACAGTGAAGTTATATTAATTTTACAATTTTTTTCGATATTAAAACATTTGTTAATAATGTTTCTTGTCATTCATATTATTATCAAATTTTTGAAAAGGAATTTCGTAATTTGAATTTGAAAAAATATTTTTGTCGAACACAAGGAAATTTTATCTTGACTCTCATTATATAAAATTTATTAAAACTATAATATTTGAGGTTAAAGGAATTTTAATTGAGTAAGCAAATAGAATAAGCCTTTAAATCTGTATGATAAGGTTTGATTTTAAAAAAAGTATTTCTAACTAAAATTGATTCTTCAATATCACTTTTCAAAATTTGCTTAAAAGAGCTACCCAATTGTATATAGAGAAAAGAATTATTTTTTTTTAATTTAATGGATAAATAAATTTAGAAAAATTGTACGTTCGAGATAATCAATTGATTGAGGTTGCCCATTTTCAACTTTTAAGAGGGCGCATAAAATGAATGAAATATTATTTATATCATAAAATTAAAAATAAATATTAATAAATAATAAATTTTTAAAATGAAATCATAAAATTAAATATATTATTATAGATTAAAATAATTAATTGAATACAAAAATAAATATGTCTAAGTTAGTAAGAATTCTCTCAATCCTTAAAATTTTTAAGATAATCTCTACTTTTTTGGGTTTTAATTAATTTCAAGTTTTCCAAAAGAATTAATATGAAAGTAAAAGGATACTATCATTTTGATTCTGTGGCATCATAGAATTTCGCAGTGAATAAATTTTTATTTTAAAAAACACTTGTAATATTTTAAATCTAATCATAATTTATTTTAATTCAAAATGATGACAAAATTTAAGAATCAATATTATTTTAATATATAATAAAAAATAAGATTCTTTTTTTTATTATAAAAAAGGTTTTGAATTGTTTTTAAAGTTATTACTGAGAATTTGAAAACCATAAATAAGTAGAATATTATTTTCTACTTTTAAATAAGCTGTTTATGTTTAATAGAATGTATAATTTAAGCTAGTAACAAATTTAAAACCTGACTTATCTTAAGAAAAATTTAGATAAATAAAAAGAAAGGTTTAATTACTTCATCCAAAACACAAAATCATACTTAAAAAGTTTACAAATCAGAAGTTTTTTAAACAGAAATAAATTCCAAAACTTGATCTAATACAAGTATATTTATCTGAAAATTTGAAAATTTTCTGATCAATTGTTAACAATATTGATACTTATCCCTAATAAACATTTTATTTTTCTCTTCTTTTGAATCTTACAAGAAGTTTTTAGGTACGTTAATATTAGCTGAAAATTAGAAGTATGAATTCAAACCACCAATCCATATGAATATCAAATCAATTAGACGAGACTTTATTCTCTTATTTTTATAATAAGAAATTAATTTATAATTTAAATCAGATTAAAAGTTCAAATAATTCTTGATTGGATTGTTTAATTAGACTTTATTTTATGTTTTTTTATATAATGCACTGTATTATTTCATATAATTATATTGTGTTTTATATAATTAATAATCATGTTATTGGATACTCAATTTAATAAACTAAATAATTCTATTAGTTCTTTACCCATAAAATAATATATTTAGCATCATTTGTCATAGTTCCATATATTAAATTACTTTCAAATTTCAATTTAGTTGAAATTCGATATCGACCATGATTTTATTTAGTTAAGAAATAAACATGATATTTATGTCTTAATAAAATAATCTCCTTTTCTTTGTTAAAAACAATTGGAAATAAATTATAATTCACTACTCCAGATGATACTATTAACTGTTATTCTTTTTCTTTTTATTCTACAAAATCTCCATTAATTAATTCAAAATAATTTAGACAATCTTTTCCATTTTTATTTCCTCCTATCCAAATAAATTGATTCTCTTTAATAAAACAGATAGTTAATCCTTATTAATTTATTGATTATTTAACAATTTAATAAAACTCCCATTTATTTTTTTTTGATTTCTTCCAAGTTATTATTTATTAATCTTCACCACAAGAAACTAAGAAGGTCTCTGATTCATTTAATGATAATCCATAAACATTATGAGTATGTTTCATTAAAGAATAAGAGTAATTCAGATTATTATTATTAAAATCAACTTACCATATTTTAATTGATTAATCTTCACTTCCAGAAAATAATATACTTTCATTTTTACATAATAATAAACAGAAAATCCTGTTAGTATGTTCTTAATATGATTATTAACTTTTCCATTCTTATTAATTTACTTGTTTCCAACATCTGATTGTATTATCATAAGATCCAGAAATGAAACTATTTTATATTTTACTAAATAGTAAACAACTAACTGTTTATTTGTGTTCTTATAATTTTTAAATTTCTTAAATCTATCCATCTTTAAAATCCCATATTTTTATATCTTTATAACAACCAGAAATCATAATTTATCCAGTATAATTAAGGGCAATAGCAAAACATGATTCTGATTATTTTATTTAATTATTAATAGGTTTAAGAGTGATTTTAGGTTATTAAATTTAAATAATTTCTAATAAAGAATCTTTGATTTAAGTAATATATTTTCTATAATCTGAATTGAATTTAGTTAATTTTAATTAGATTTTATTAATTGATGCATTATTAATTGTAATAATAGATTCAACTAATAATTCATAATCTTTTTCATGAGATTGTGATTAATTAATATAATTATGTAATTCTTCTATAAAATTAAATGTAGAATTATCTTATTATTTAGTAATAAGAATATCCATCCAATAATTTAATTCTATAATGATTGAATCAATAGTTTAATTAATTGTTGATTTCCATTAATCTATAAAATCGTATAATTTATTTAATTGTTCCTTCTTCTAAGAAATAAATGTGATTTTCTTTTATAGATTTCNTTAGACAATCTTTTCCATTTAGACTTCCACCTATCCAAATAAATTGATTCTCTTTAATAAAATAGATAGTTTATCCTAGTTCATTTATTGATTATTTAACAATTTAATAAAACTCCCAAATATTTTCTTTTGATTTCTTCCAAGTTATTATTTATTAATCTAAACCACAAGAAACTAAGAAAGTCTCTGATTCATTTAATGATAATCCATAAACATTATCAGTATGTTTCATTAAAGAATAAGAATAATTCAGATTATTATTATTAAAATCAACTTACCATATTTTAATTGATTTATCTTTACTTCCAGAAAATAATATACTTTCATTTTTACATAATAATAAACAGAAAATCCTGTTAGTATGTTCTTAATATGATTATTAACTTTTCCATTCTTATTAATTTACTTGTTTCCAACATCTGATTTCATTATCATCAGATCCAGAAATGAAACTATTTTATATTTTACTAAATAGTAAACAACTAACTTTTTATTTGTGTTCTTATAATTTTTAAATTTCTTAAATCTATCCATCTTTAAAATCCCATATTTTTATATCTTTATTACAACCAGAAATCATAATTTATCCAGTTAAATGTATAATTATCTTATTATTTAGTAATAAGACTATCCATCCAATAATTTAATTCTATAATAATTGAATCAATAGTTTAATTAATTGTTGATTTCCATTAATCTATAAAATCGTATAATTTATTTAATTGTTCCTTCTTCTAAGAAATAAATGTGATTTTCTTTTATAGATTTTCTTTAATATTATTTTCAATTTCAGATTCAATAATATTTAAACCTAACATTTACATATTTGATCTAATATTCAACATACATTCACTGCATAATAATCTCTCATTCATCTTAACATCTTTACCTATATTTATTTAACAAATTGCCTGATTATGATTCTAAAAACATCTTAAATTCTCTTTTTCTATCATTTTTATTTAAATCATTAATTAATTATATTAATTCATATAAAAATAATCAAATTCTTAAAAAATTTATTTTATGACTTTTCTAAAATGAGAAATATTATTTTAAAAAGGATCTCTCTTAAAAATATGTTAGATATTTTTAAAAAAAATACCAATAAACATATACTTATTAGTCAAATTTTTTGATTTAAACAAAAATTAGAATTTTTTCTTGCAATATTCTTTAATTTCTTAAAACTTTCATAATATTCTCTGGCATTCTGTTTTGATAAAATATTGAATATTTTAATGTTTAAGTAAGATCTGGCTAATTCTCAAATCCTCTTATTATATGCTGTTGTTAATCTCTTTTTTTGTATTTTGCATTATTTTGGTTTTAAAGGAATATATTCTAACCTAGTAAGTTATCAATTTCTCTGATTTTCTTTATACTTGAAACAAAAATCTTTGTTATATATTTAAAAGTTATCAAAAAAAAAAAATGTATTTGATATTTGGCAAAGATCACCAGCAGACATTAATAAATTAGATCATCTATTCTTATTTGCCACTCTGGCATGCTATTAAATTTGTTAAAAGTAATTAATTTTAATTTCACCTTCGATGATGGTCTCTTCTTTTTATTCAATTTTTAGAGTGTTCAAATTATTTTGTTGTAAGGATATATACTAATTTTAATTAAAATACATTTGGAATATCTATATCCTCGATAACATAACATTTATCTTGGTTTCTTCATTTAAAAAACTACATGAATTAGAAATATTTTTATATTAATCAAGTCGTAATATTTGATGATTATTTCATAAAAAAATGTTAATTATTAATGTATTATTTAAATTTAATATCCTTTTGTTACTAATTTAGAGATTGTGTCAAATGAATAATCATTATTCTAATTTATTTGGCTAATCAAAATGTTCTTTATTATTAGTAATTTTATTTCTTCAATAAATAGAAGATGATGTAATTGATTGAATATATCTAAATTTAACCTTTATATTAAATTTTTAGAAGTTCTATCTTTTTTATAAAATTTTCATCTACTCTAAAAAATTAGACTAAACAATTAAAAATACTCTCTGAATACTAAATAAACTTTACAATCCTCAATTCTAGAGTAAATCTTCTTCTGTGAATCATCTTCCTTAATAATTGTTGAGATATTTCGATTATCTCTTGTGGATTATTAAATATTAAATCTATGTAGTAATGAGTCTGTATGACTTTAAACAAATGTATATAGGTGTTTCTAATACTTATTTTAAATCATTAAGTCTTTTTGATCTTTTAACAATAAAGGTGTTTCTTCAATGAAAATTTTCATCATCATTTTTCCTTTTTATAAATGCTGATCCATAGCAAAATACATCTATAATTTATTTATTATGCGATTTTATATTTCAAATAAGAAAATCATGGATAAATATTTCGGTTAACTAATCAACAGAAGCTTTTATTACTTTAACTAAGTGTTCAATATTCAATTTATTTAGGAATATAAGATTTTTTTTTCTTTTAAATCAGCAGCTGGTTATAGAAACTATTATGATTAGTTGTTCTCTCAATTATTTTTAATTATATTTATAATAATCTTCTAATGTCTTGAATGAGTTCATTTTATTAAAAAATTTGCATAAATACGACTTTTTCTAAAAGAGATTCTCTAATTTTTGTATATGTTATTGGATCCTTATATTTTTTGTTTACAATCGTTTATTTCGCTATTTTTTCTTTGATATTTGAATCAAATTATTAAATCTAATTATTTTAATGATGAAATTTAAGTAACTCTAACTACTCATTCTTCATGTTATTATAGACTTTGTTGGTTTAGCAACCTATAAATAAACTTAGAATATAAATACTTATTGGATTAATCATCTAGATTATTATCCATAAATTTACCTTTATGATTGAATCAATCTGGGCTATTCCAATTAATTCAATATAATTTTGATTTAATTTTAAATATTATGTTTTGAATCACATTTATATAAGTTTAATAAAGGAGAAAACTTATTTATACTGGTTATTTGTACTTCTAGCTTCAATGTTATATAAAGATATGGTTAAAATAAATTTAAATATTCTAAAATCCAGTTGTGGATGGTTGAGTAAATAGAATAATAAGATAATTATAATTCCTATATTCTTTTGGGTAGTTCGTTAAAAATATATAATGTATTAAATTTATTTTTGTTTCATTCTGGTAAAAATGAAACAATAGATATTTTAATCATTTGAATTGCAATTGAACAATTTAATAATAAATTAGAGTTTAGATATGTAGAAATCAATTTTGGCAAGAAGGTTGTGACAAGGTTGAATGAGAAAATAAAACTGGTGTTCAATACGATAAAGCTGATAGTGTGGTGTATAATAAGCTCGTGATAATACAATTTAACAAAATATTTATTTCATGATGATAACACAGGAATAAACTAGCAATTATTAAATGTATAAGAAAAAAAAAAAATAGTTTTAAAATTAATAGATATACTACCCACATTATCCTCCACTATAATATTTTGCAGGATGAAAAAAAAAAAATAAATATGAAAAACATAATATCATAAGTTAATATATTATAATGTAAATGTAAAAAAAAAAAAAATTAATGAATTTTTTGGAGGGTCAGTGTGGATATAGAAGGTATGACCCTGTTAGACCATGGATTCCTTACATCTAACTACTGACTAGTAACTCACTGAACCTGGTTCAAACATATATGCTAATTTATATTTAATTACAATAATAATAAATTTGTGATATAACCTCAAAATAAAAATTATTATTAATATTAAGCTTTCGAAAAAATTCTTAAAAAAAATTTAGATAGAGACTCAAGTAAGTTCATTGATTCATTAAATAATTTGTATACTAAATTAAAATTAAAAAAAAAAATTAATTAATAAACAATAAGACGATTCGTCTATTTAAGATCTCACTTAATACTTAATGATTTTAAAATGAAACAAATAATATTTTCTGGAGTATAACTCAATATCTTAAACCTATTTTTATATAAATAATTTAATAAAATTAATTATAGCTTAAACAATCAAAGAGGTCTATTTTTACAATAATTAATAATGAACAGCGTTAAGTGAATCAATAATAATATAAAGTAAACATAATGATAATAATAGTTATAAAATTAATTTATCAGATTTTTAAATTTATTTGGTAAGAATTACAGATTATAGTTGAGATCAAAAACAATTATTAATGCATGAATGAAAACCATATATAATAACTCAAATAAGTTTTGAAAAGTATTTTAGTGCATCATATTGTTATCTCCTATAAAACAAAAATATAGAGTAATATTGCAATTGGGCATGATAATCAACTATTATTTTTAATTTACATTATTAGATAAGGATTATTAAATATTATTTTCTGTTATTATAACCAAAGTTATTGTTAAGCCTCAAAAAATGATTTGTCAATTTTTGAAAGTGATATTTTATCATATTAGGAATCAAATAATATGTTTATACTTTTATATTAAATCTACATTTTATTGGCTTTTTGATTTTGAGCAAAAATTCATAAATTCTGAAAGCTTACCAGATAAATAACTATTATAATTATTTTCAAATAAAGGGACTTCTCTTTTGTAAACTTTAGATTTTAAACATTATTTACTGATTAAACCCGTCTACTTTCTTGCAAATCAGATGAATTCTATATACAAGACCTTTAACCATCGATGTGGATTTTTTCTAAAGCACTTCATTAGAAGTAGAGAACATTCATACTTTGCTTTACGCATTTTGATCACTACTTATTGAACTTTTAAAAAATTCTTATTTCACAATCTCAATATGGTTGTATCTCATATATTGTTCTAAGTCCATATAAAATTAATAACAAACATTTTTACTGATAATATAAATAATTTTGAACCTGAATCACTTTGGTATTAATCAATACTTCACTTTATAAGAACCGAAAAATTTCTAAGTTACCTTTGAAATTCTTCAAAATCTCATTTCCATGATAATTCATTTATCGATTTAAGTTTAAGTATAAATTCAAAATTAAAGAATTTGTCTTAAAACCTGTTTAAAATTTTTCATCTACAAATTACCTTGAATAAAATTATTATTATATATTCCTACCGAAATTAAGGTAAGAGGTTAATCTTGAATTACTCTATTATTTAATACCCAAACTTCTCTAAGCATCAATACTTTTGGAATTTTTTTTCTAAATATCCACTATTTGAAATATAAATTAAACCTTAACAACTTTAACTTTTAAATTATAAAACGATTAATCATTTTGAAGTTATTTACGAAATGTGAAGTACTTTAGTTTCCTTTTTCTAATTAACATTGTTTTCAATTTACCAGTTAATGAGTTTTTCTGTCTTATCAAAACTTAGTCTCAAACTTTTTATTATGTACATTTTTATAAAATAATAGACATCTGCCGATTAAAGAACTATATTTGAATATACTTTATTGTGACAATTAATTAATCTCAATTCAAATTTGATATACTCATGCATCATTATCAAAGAAAATAAATTATTCTAATTACTTTTATATGAAACAATAAAAAAATCACTTTCTAAAAATATTATAGTCCATAGAATTGTACAAGAAGCAAACAGTGATGAATCTCTAGCTTGAATGTCCAGCCCCTTCTACTAATTTATATTATTAAAGATATTTTGAAAGCTAATTGGTTAATCTGATCTACAATACTTAAAAAACACAACATAGTTCATTCTTTACACCAGGACAAGAAGAATCAATTCTGAAGATTTTAGAGAAACAGCCGTTATTTTAGCACCAAATCATCCCTACAAAAACTTTGAAATTTATCAATAAATAATATTAATATAATTAATTAATGATTTAAATAAAAATGATAGAAAAAGAGAATTTAAGATGTTTTTAGAATCATAATCAGGCAATTTGTTAAATAAATATAGGTAAAGATGTTAAGATGAATGAGAGATTATTATGCAGTGAATGTATGTTAAATATTAGATCAAATATGTAAATGTTAGGTTTAAATATTATTGAATCTGAAATTGAAAATAATATTAAAGAAAATCTATAAAAGAAAATCACATTTATTTCTTAGAAGAAGGAACAATTAAATAAATTATACGATTTTATAGATTAATGGAAATCAACAATTAATTAAACTATTGATTCAATTATTATAGAATTAAATTATTGGATGGATAGTCTTATTACTAAATAATAAGATAATTATACATTTAACTGGATAAATTATGATTTCTGGTTGTAATAAAGATATAAAAATATGGGATTTTAAAGATGGATAGATTTAAGAAATTTAAAAATTATAAGAACACAAATAAAAAGTTAGTTGTTTACTATTTAGTAAAATATAAAATAGTTTCATTTCTGGATCTGATGATAATGAAATCAGATGTTGGAAACAAGTAAATTAATAAGAATGGAAAAGTTAATAATCATATTAAGAACATACTAACAGGATTTTCTGTTTATTATTATGTAAAAATGAAAGTATATTATTTTCTGGAAGTAAAGATAAATCAATTAAAATATGGTAAGTTGATTTTAATAATAATAATCTGAATTATTCTTATTCTTTAATGAAACATACTGATAATGTTTATGGATTATCATTAAATGAATCAGAGACTTTCTTAGTTTCTTGTGGTTTAGATTAATAAATAATAACTTGGAAGAAATCAAAAGAAAATATTTGGGAGTTTTATTAAATTGTTAAATAATCAATAAATGAACTAGGATAAACTATCTATTTTATTAAAGAGAATCAATTTATTTGGATAGGTGGAAGTCTAAATGGAAAAGATTGTCTAAGTTATTTTGAATTAATTAATGGAGATTTTGTAGAATAAAAAGAAAAAGAATAACAGTTAATAGTATCATCTGAATTGAATTATAATTTATTTCCAATTGTTTTTAACAAAGAAAAGGAGATTATTTTATTAAGACATAAATATGATGTTTATTTCTTAACTAAATAAAATCATGGTCGATATTGAATTTCAACTAAATTGAAACTTGAAAGTAATTCAATATTTGGAACTATGACAAATGATGCTAAATATATTATTTTATGGGTAAAGAGCTAATAGAATTATTCAATTTATTAAATTGAGTATCAAATAACATGATTATTAATTATATAAAACAAAATATTATTATATAAAATAATAAACAATTGATTTAAAAATTCGAATTTATATTATCAAACAAATTTTCATTAAAAGTTATTTAAGTCATGCTAGAAACAATTTAGAGTTTAGAATTTAATAAATTTTAGATTGCAGAATATAAACTTCAATAGAATCAAAGAATTAATTTTAATTTTTACCTAATCAATAAAACTATAAAATGATCAGAAGAAGGTATGATAACGAATGAAAATGTTGTTGCATTAACAGAAATCCTGGATTGTTTATTCAAATTAAATTAAAATATTGATTATTAGATTTGATTACTTGATGGACAAATAAATGAGCTATAAATTAAAAGTGATTCTAAAAAGAATTACAAATTTTTGATTAGTTTGAATTAGAGAAAAAATTAGAGTTTCTTTAATGCAGTTACGACGTATTACTAATATCTATAATGATACAAAATTTAGAAACTCTAAAAACAAATTGAACTTTGAAAAAACTTTACAATTATATTATCTTTATATTATAGGAAAAATACTTTGATCTTTATTCGTCAAAGAGGAATAAAATAGTTACTTAAGAGAAATTGGTTTAGGTAATTAATTTAAAGATTATTTGCTAGTGTATTTAGAGTTGAGATGGAAACAAAATGAAAAAGATTGAGTAATAAAAAAAGAATTTCTCAATTAAATTATTGAGGTAATTGGATCATCAAAAATTATAAAATTTATATACTTAAAATCTTTAATATATGATTTTTGAATATTATGCATGTGAAGATTTAGATGCTTATATAATTTATATGATTAATTTAAGAAAAATAGAAAATATATTCACCAAGCGGTAAATTACCAGAAAAGTAAATTAGAAGAATATGACATTGGCATTACAATAAATGTATAAAAATAAATTTGTCAAAGAAATCTTAGACATCATTAAAAATGATACATAAAGATTTAAAATTATCAAACATTCTATAAATTAAGAATAATAATATATTCAGAAATTATTTATATTCACTTTAGTATTAAAGAAGTTTAAGTATTACTATTATTATTATTATTATTATTTTTAAAATCGTTTAGATAAAATTGGCAGATTTTGGATTTTTAAATAGTATGGAAGATGATCTATATTTAAAATCTTATTATTTAAATGCATTGATATTTACTCCAAAAATTCTATAAAGGAAGCAATTGAATGAGAAATGTAATAATGGTCAGTCGAATTAAACGATATATATAGCAAATAACCTTTTATTCCACTAAAAGGAGCTAATATTAACAATTTAATTGAAAGTATTTCGTATTTTAAATGTTATAGAAGAATTAAAAAAAAAGAATTAACTGAAGTTATCAGAGCTAATCAAAAATATATTGCAAATAAAATTAAATACTAAGTAGTCTGTTGATAAAATGATCTAAGAAAGAACTATAATTTGAATGGATACTTGTAAAAGATGATACTGAAGTAAGGAAAAGTTACAAAAATGATACACGTTAATTAATATAATGATAATTAAAATTAAATCATTCTATCTAATGTCACAGATCAGCCTGTTTTTTAAACAGATGAGTATATATTTATCTCTAATTTCCATATTCTACTGAATAAGTATTTATAAAAGAAGGCCTAAAAGTATAAATTTTATTAGAGAGCCAATTTTTTATTATGGGAATACTGAACTCAATTAAATTTGCAATTTTTATTAATTAAATATAAGTTTATCTTTATTTTAATCCTATAAATAATCTTTTTAATATTGCACATAATCTTGAATATTGAAATATATTCCTTCAGGTAGAACAACATTAAAACTAATCAACAGATAAATGAATAAAAAATAATGCTTGTATCTTCAATTATTTTCTATTGAAATATTTAACACTTTAAATAGTATGCAATAAGTAAAATAAGTACTCGAAGAATATTAATTATATAAATAAAATTAAATATTAAAGTGCTTTATTAATTTATTAAATTTAATATCTATGTTAAAAAGTAAATAATATTGGATGATTAGAAGTTGTCGTTGAATTAAAAATAAGACTGAAAAATCTCTTAAATGAAAAATTATAATTACTTAGAAAGACTTTAATTGAGAAAGTTATTTCTAAAGAAAACAATTAAATCTTCTTTTAAAAAAGTTTTTTAAATCAATTTTTATACATTTATTTCGTGAAAGATATAGTTACCTAAGCCAATTTAATACTTAATTAATTTTAAACTTTAATGCATTTTAGTTTTTTCTTATTTTATCTCTTATAATGTATTTTTTAATCTGTTATTCTGTTCATCCATAACTTCTATATTTAGGTTTAATATCGTACAAATTTTAAAGCAATTACTAGTTACAGTTAAATTTTTTAATATAACTTTAGTTTGCTTTTTATTTTAAAGATTAATGTGATTGTCTCTATTATTTATAAGGGTATAATAATAAACTATTACTTTACCATTCTCCTTATAAAAGTAATCTTTTTGTTAATTATTTTTTTAAGCTACAACTTGTTTTTGTAAGGGTATAAGTCTTAATCAAAAGAAAGATCAATCTGTTTACATTAATGAATATCACTAAAAAGGAATTTATTATAATGTTGTGGACTGACAAAATGTGAAATTTTAATTATTAATATAGATATTGATTATTTGATTATTATTAGAGTCGATTCTTAAGAGAAGTAACAAATTCTTGACCTTTATTAACTATTCTTTGCAATTCTTTCTAGAGTCTAAATCAAGTAGAAATACTTTTACTTATTTTTGGGTTGATATTCAACAGATTTTTTATCTTGGAAATATAATTAAATAATTTAATTTTTATTAATGTGAAATAAGTAATTGGTTTATTTTTTGACTACTAAATGGAGGATAATATTTTGTAAATAATATAATTCTAGAAAATCACATGTATTTTTTAATTCTAATATTTCTACTCTCTTAAAATTTGCTTTAAGATATAGAATATAAAACTAACTTTTTATTTTAAAATAATTAAATTTGATTTTTTTTGTTAGTTTTTTTAGTAAATTTATTATCAATTTTGCCTTCTTAAAATTTCTCAATCCATAAGACATGAAATCAGAAGATTATATGTTATCTGTATAATTCAATAGGTTATTAAAAATACTTGTAATATTGTTATTATTCATGAGATTAATATATTTTGTTTAAACTTATTTAATTATTTCCTTTCGTAAAATAAATTAGTTCCTGGTCTTATTTCTTTAATGATTAAAGTTAAAATTAAATGAAATATTTTCATAATAATAGAGGAATAAAATTATTTGTTGAAAAAACTATTTTTAATTTATATCTTAATAAAAATTTATATCATTTTGAAAATAGTTAAACTAAGAATGGAAAAATTAAATTTTAGAATTGAGATTCAAACACTAAATTGTAATAATAATAAAGTAATAAAACTTTATAAGAAATAAACGGCAAATGATCTTACAGTTTAAATAATACGATTAGATATTACCTTCTATCTGAATTTTTTTAATACTTGTATGTTTCTATTTTCATTTTTGAAAGTTTTGTCTGATATGAAGAAAATGAGGTAGCAAAACTTCGATTTTAGAAGACAATTAATCTGATTTAATTTTTTTTATTACATATTCATAATTTGATTTAAAGTATTGAATTAGCAAAATAAATGTTTTTTTCCAGAAATTTAGTATGTGGAGCTGATCTAAAATACGAAATATACATATATATGTGACAGCTTAGAGATAGATTTACTATAACTTTTTACGAAAAATCAAGATGAAATTATTAGTAGCTTTAATTTTAGTGAAGTATCAATTTGAAGGTGGTGTTATTGAAGACATTAATACTAAAAAAATAAACAATTCATAACTTTAAAAAAATAGATTTTATATATTTACAATCTTTTTTACATGGTTCATTTTCTGTATCATAATTTCAGTACTTCCTTAAAACTCATTGATGAATATCAATAATTTCACATTCTTTTTTTGCTAAATTACGTTTAGATACAAACATCAATAATAAGTATAATCAAGATGTAACATAACTCTCTATTTTAACAAAAAAAAACTTTGCACAATTTTTATTATATTTGACATTATGGAAGTTAATTGAGTGTATATGTCTTTAGAAAAGATTTTAATATTCGTCGGCAAAAATTTAATGGCAATTTTTCTTTATTTTTTGTTTCCAATAGGTTTATATTTGTTATTAGGTAAGATAAAGATACTAATAATTGCTAAAAGATATTAAAATATTTTTTCTTATATTCATTTTTTTTGTCTTTCATTTAAAATAAATCTTATAAGGTCACTTTTGATAATTCTTATGCAAAAGCTATTAACTAAAATGAAAAATAGCATTTCCATCTAAACTTATTCTATTTTTCAGATATAAAAAGATTAAATCTACCATTATTTCAATTTGATTATTAGTTTAATTCAAGAATTATAAATCCTTATTAGAGCATTATGAGAAAATGAGTGTTTTTAGTAAATGTCTGCAAACTTTAAATTTAAAATGATGGATTTAGAAAAATACAACTTTTACTGAAGAATATAAAAATTTTTAATACTTATGGTTATTAAGAATTGAGAAAGTATATTAATTATAATTTCTCATCATTTTGATTTTCAATAAGAACGTTTTTTCTTTTGAATTCTTAAGTAAACATATTTTACTAAATTAATCTTTAAAGTTCTGAATATTAGATACTCTCAATCATTAGATATAAGTTGAATCAATATATAATCAAATAATTATTTGGAGGTAAAATAAAAAATTCAAATTAAAGTCTCAAGAAATAAAATAGTCCAGGATAATACACCATAAAACCAATCTAAGATGTTAAATATGAATGTTAGAATAAATTTCAAAATATTATTCCACACTTAAATTCTAGTTTATGAGATTTAATAAAATTTTAACCATTATTTTTTATCTAATATTTTGCATATCATGTGTCTATTAGTTAAAAGCTATCCTTTTATTATTAGATTTTCTCTTTATAATCTTTAATTTTATACACTTGTTGCATAACAAATTATTGTAACTCATCTTATTTCTTAAAAGAAATATAGAAATAAAATGTTTTTTATTTATTAGATTCAACAACCTTTTTTAGGAAATTATTTAAATTCTCCACAAAAGATTATCTGTTATTTTCAAGTTATTTTTAATTATTTGAATGTAGAGATTTTGAACAAAATTATTATAATTTTTTGCTTACACNAAAGATTTTAATATTCGTCGGCAAAAATTTAATGGCAATTTTTCTTTATTTTTTGTTTCCAATAGGTTTATATTTGTTATTAGGTAAGATAAAGATACTAATAATTGCTAAAAGATATTAAAATATTTTTTCTTATATTCATTTTTTTTGTCTTTCATTTAAAATAAATCTTATAAGGTCACTTTTGATAATTCTTATGCAAAAGCTATTAACTAAAATGAAAAATAGCATTTCCATCTAAACTTATTCTATTTTTCAGATATAAAAAGATTAAATCTACCATTATTTCAATTTGATTATTAGTTTAATTCAAGAATTATAAATCCTTATTAGAGCATTATGAGAAAATGAGTGTTTTTAGTAAATGTCTGCAAACTTTAAATTTAAAATGATGGATTTAGAAAAATACAACTTTTACTGAAGAATATAAAAATTTTTAATACTTATGGTTATTAAGAATTGAGAAAGTATATTAATTATAATTTCTCATCATTTTGATTTTCAATAAGAACGTTTTTTCTTTTGAATTCTTAAGTAAACATATTTTACTAAATTAATCTTTAAAGTTCTGAATATTAGATACTCTCAATCATTAGATATAAGTTGAATCAATATATAATCAAATAATTATTTGGAGGTAAAATAAAAAATTCAAATTAAAGTCTCAAGAAATAAAATAGTCCAGGATAATACACCATAAAACCAATCTAAGATGTTAAATATGAATGTTAGAATAAATTTCAAAATATTATTCCACACTTAAATTCTAGTTTATGAGATTTAATAAAATTTTAACCATTATTTTTTATCTAATATTTTGCATATCATGTGTCTATTAGTTAAAAGCTATCCTTTTATTATTAGATTTTCTCTTTATAATCTTTAATTTTATACACTTGTTGCATAACAAATTATTGTAACTCATCTTATTTCTTAAAAGAAATATAGAAATAAAATGTTTTTTATTTATTAGATTCAACAACCTTTTTTAGGAAATTATTTAAATTCTCCACAAAAGATTATCTGTTATTTTCAAGTTATTTTTAATTATTTGAATGTAGAGATTTTGAACAAAATTATTATAATTTTTTGCTTACACTATTCCAATATAAAAAAAATTAAATAATATTTTTTATGCACATGACATGTTAATTGCTAATTTTATCATTATAAGATTTTTTATGATTATATTGATATAAATATATCTCCTCATTTATCAAATCTATCATTATTATTTAATTCTACCATTTAATAAATTTCAAATTAATATTCCCTATTACTTAAGTAGGCTAAGTATATACTTTATTAATATTACCCCATCCCTTGTATTTCTTTAAATAAGGTCCTTCAGCTGCTGTTATTATCTTTTTATAATCAAATTTGATGATATTTCCCATTAAATAATATCCATTGGGAATTTTTTTATAATTTATCCTATGTAACATTCTATACAGATTCTTTAAAATATTAGCAAAATGCATGTATTTAAATTCTCTAAGAATCTGGTATATAAAAATTTTGATTATTTAAGATTAATTCTAGTCTCATCAAAGTTTTTATTTTATTAAAATTTAAATAATAAACAATTTTTACCATTCTCTTTTTTAAAAATATTTCTTCTGTGGTTATATTTATTTCAATTCAGATAATAATCAAATTTGGCTGTATAATTCTTATTTGATTTATTAAAGATTTATTGTATTCTTAATTCACTTCCAAAATTTTTTCATTTTAATGATATTCTTATTTTAAGCTATTAATTAGCAGTTTCTTGATAAAACAATATTCGATACGAATATTTGTAAGTTAAATTAATATATTTGATGTAGACTCCAAATCTAACAAAGGCCTTAATTAAGTCCTAAACCTCCTTCAAATCCAGCATCTTATAAAGGTTAATAATTATAATAATTATATAAAAAATACTATTTAAGTAATAAATTTAATTTTGTTTAATACTAATATTTATTTTATATATTAGAATCAATATAATTTTAAGAAAAAAATGTATTAATTTTTAACTTAATATATGAACATAATATAATGTTATTCAACAAATGTTTATTATTTAAACTTAAGAAAAGTAAGTAATTATATTGAAAAAAATTTAATNTACTTATTTAGAAAAAATAACTCACTATTTTATAAATGTTCAGAAAAGGAGATTAATACGTCTATTGTATAATTATTTTAACTCCTTCTCTGAATAATTGTTTTAAAGTTACTTATTTTTTTATAAATAAATACTAAGAACAGCTATAAATTAGAATTCATAAATTTAGAGTTTATTGGGAATTCATTAGTATAATATAGTCAATTCACTTTTTTCTCAATTATGATAATATATTCAGAATAAATGGCAGATATTGATTTAAAAAAAATATTATTTGTAAATAATTTCTTGCATTAATAAGCTGATGGCGTTTAATTTAAAAAACATCTATTGCATTTTCCATTATTGTCAATAACTATTGTCAATAATTTATTTTGTACATAAAATGCTTAACAAATTCTTCAAATTCTTTTAATCCTTTAAAATCTTAAGCTAATTAAAACAATAATTTATTTTATTTTTTTCGTTTGATTATAATAATTTAATATAATGATAATTAAAAGTATAATTTAGAAGATAGAAAATAAAATATATTAATTGGTTGAATATGAAAATTCTATTCATTCTTATTTTGGAGTTTCTTGTACTAATTATAGCTAATCTTTATTTTAATCTTCGTTGATTGGATTTTCTATGATAGAATGATCAGATAAGAATTTAAATTATCTTTCCATATCTTCAATTTATTAAGATGGAGTTTTAGAATTGTGAAGTTATTATTAGTATAATAATTATTATTATTATTTTTATTATTTAGTAATAATTTTGATATTACTTTCTAATTTATACCTACCTAAAGTCTGATATTTTTCTTATTTTGATTGAGCATATTCTTTTACAAATTAATCTGCATCTGTTAAGTAGGATAAGCAATCACTATATAAATATTATAAATAGTAATCTGCTAATACTCTCACAGATACAAGATCAACCTTTTTATTATCATTTTATGGTTTTAATTCTTGAAATCTGGTTTAAAAATAATCAGACATAAAAACTGTAAATGTTTCAATATAATTTTCATTGTTTTTAGGAGGTAATTCAGCGTATTTTTAGAGTGATTCAAAATATTTGCCTTCCCACCACTTTTTATCTGATGAACTAAATATAACTTAAAATTTGGAGATATGATATAAACTAAAGAATAAAATGAGGACAGATATCATAAACTTTTTATCTTAATCATTAAATTTAGCTTCATATAATGAACATTGTATAACATCATTGTATAATTTTTCAGCTTTTTTAATGTATCGAATATGAGGTTTAAAGTGTTATAAATAATCCATAAATCTTTTAATACTTATACTTAAAAGGATTTCAGAAATGAGTGTTTCATAATCAAATTAAGTATTCCAAAGGTATCGACTAATAGGTTCACTGATAAGGAATTAATAATGCTATTCAGGAGTTTAATGTTATGGCAATTATGGTTTATTTGCTCTTCGTTAGGATTATAATTTTTAAGCCTTTGATTATCCTCCTCCCATATAGATATTAAATTAATATAAAATAATATGTAAAATCCACTCTTTTACAAAAGTAAATGTTTTATAGTTATTAAGTACAGATCGAATATAGAGAGGAGATAATTAGAGTGTTAAATTTATAGTGACCTTAAGTTAGAATTTAGAGTATCAGAAAAATGTGTTAAAATATTGGGATTAGATTGGAAAGAATCCATAAGGAAAAGTATTGTCAAGTGACTTGTTAGAGGTTAATTTATATAGATATTTTAGGTTATTACAGCAATAATCAAGTGTATAATATGTTTACCAGATGAAAGTTTGAAACAGTTATCATAATAGTATTTAGAATCGATGACAGATGTTGATCCAAATCTGCCAGAATACTTATCTTATTAGGTATTTGTAGATGCAATAACATAATTATTGTTTTAACTGATAAATCAACCAGATTTGAGTTCTGCAATATACCTTTTGAAAACAATTCATGCTCGAATATATCGTCGTTAATTGATAGATGTGAAAGGTATTGGCATACTATTATAATTAGACAATACAAATTAAGATATTGATTATCATATTCTTGTAAAAATTCACAATACAGATAGAGTAGAATAGAGTTTAAGAAATGATAATAAAAAGTCTTACTTCCCTATTTATTATACAGAACAATACATATATAATTCTGATTAATTATAGAGTGCTGATATTATTCCAAGTAGAATTATCAAATATAAATTGGCACCTCTTAATGAAATAATTCCTATAGGTATGAGTTGTGAATGCATGATATTTGCTTTGATGAATAATAATTTTCAAGAGTGTGAATATTAACATTATACATCATCTTAATATGCATTTGCTAAAGAAATCAAATTGATTGGTTAAGTTACTGAAACTTTTCTTATGATATTACCTAATAGTTAATTAGTTCCTGATATAGGATTGTAATATTTAATAGAATAGAATGATGATTCTTATGGATTCCATTCTTAATATTATAAGTTAAATAAGTTAATTACAAGAGATATTTAATGGTGTTAATTCCCATTAAAAAATTAAGATGGAAATAAATTATTAATAAATATAAAAAGTGAATTTTTTACAGAAGAAGATTATAGAATTGATTAAATAAACAAAGTCAATAAAAAATGGGAAAGAAAGATAGTCTCAGCTAAAAGATAATTATTAACTTCTTAATTATAAACTTTTGATATAAGTAAATCATCTAATCCAGATAAAAGATAATCTAAAAATATTCCATTTATCTTAAGAACCTTTTTAGGTGATTTAAATTAACCTAAAGATTAATAATAATTATAATCTGCATTAGAAGTAATTTAGGAATAGTAAACAAATATTGAATTACCTTCATTTTAATCTTATTTAAGTAAATTCATTTCACCAAAAGGATAATTACCAATAGATAGTAAAAATCCTTATGAAGATGATGTTATAGAATATGCAAATTAAGCACCTCCTTAAATATTTTTGATTGCTAAACCAAGAAGTGGAAGAAGTACATTTGCTAAGGCTTTAGCTAAATAACTTGATTTAGAATATTTAGATTTAGAAAAAGGAATTTAAAGGATTTATGCAAAAGTGGCAGAAAATGAAAATAATCCATAAATGGATGAAGAAGGAAATCCAAAAGAATTTTTGAATCCTTTAGAAAGAGAAGTATTTGATTCTTTAAGATTTGGAAGAGAATTAACTTAAGAATAATTAGAATCTTTATTTAATGTTGAATTATCATAAGATTTACCTAAAAATAAAGGATATATTTTAGATTTACCTTTAGAGAATATATTTTGGGTTAATTCAATATTATCAAACAAAATGATTCTACCTAAAATTGGATGTAGATATTTTACTCATGTGGTTAATTTATATTAATCAGATGAAGATGTATTACATTTCGCATCAAAAATTATGGAAAAATAAGATGATTTAATTGCAACATCATAATATGATAGAGAAGAATAAAAAAGACCAAAAATTAAGTATAAAGATCCAAATGATCCTGATGAAGAAGAGGATTAAGGAGATAATCCAGATGATGAAGATAAACCACCTATTATTCCAGAAAAAGATCTATTTTATAGACCTTTAGATTAAGAATTTCTAGTCTAATCATTATCAAATTTTTAAGAATCTTAATAAAAATTATTATCATTATATGATCATTTACCAGATTAGAATATTATTACACTTTAATCTGCTGGTTTAACAACTTAATAATTAGTTGATCGTGTATTTACATAAATTTTAAAGGGATAACCATTACGACCATTAGCTATAAAATTAGAAGGTGGTTCAGAAAAGGATTTGTTAGGATTAAACTTAACCGATGAAAAGGTTTATAGAATGTGGTCATAATGGTAATAGGTTGATGCAGTTGAATTAGTATTAAAAGATAAGATTATAGCAGGTAAAGCAGAATTTGCATGTGAATATGCAGGGAGAGTGTTTTTATTTGACAATGAAGATAATTAAAATAAATTCATAAATTATCCTAGAAAATATTTGTGTAAAGCTCCTTAATTACCTAAAACTTACATAGTATCAGTTTAAGGTCCAAAATGTTCAGGAAAGAATACAGTGGCTAGTTAATTAGCAGAATTTTATGGTTGGACTTTAGTGGATGTAGAAGATATAGTAAGAAAGAAGGTTTAAGCCTAATAAGAAAGAAGTAAACATTTACAATCTACATTTGATCCAAGAGTAAATGATATTCATTTAACTGAAATTGAATGGAAAGAATTCTATAAAGGAAATGTTATTAAAGATGTATTACCAATGGTTTTAAATTATTTAAATATTCCATTATAAAGAAAACCAGTAGGATGGGGAGAACCAAAGAAAGATGATGAAGAATAACCAGCAGAAGAAGATGAAGAGAAAAAGAAGAAAGAAGCAAAAAAATAATAAGCGAAAAAAAAGAAGGAAGAAGTTGTTGAAGTAGTTGAAGAGAATGTTAAACCTGTTACTCCACCTCCTGAAGATATACCTACTAAAGAGATTATTCCATTATTAGATGCTGAATTAAAAATACCTGAAACATCAAAACCTAAAGGTATTGTTATTATTGGTTATCCTTAAACATAAGAGTAAATAGATTAATTAAATCTCTGGGGTATTAAAATTGATAAATTTATAATATTGTAAGATAGATCAGAAGAACCTGGATAAATACTATTATAACGTAATCCTGATATTATAATTGAATAAGAATTAAATTAAATTAATGCATTATCTGCACTAATCAAAGAAGCTTATTAAGAAGAAAATGTTAAAGAAATTCCTATTGATGGAACTAAAGACGAAGTTTGGTCTAGAGTGCGTTTAGCATTAGATCCATTTTAAATTAGAGTTGATGATGAAGGATTAGTAAGAGTACCAGGAGATGTATAAGAAGGTGAAGAACCTATTCCTTATGGAGATTATGCGAATTATTGTCCTGTTACATTATAGAAAACTAATTGGTTGGTACCAGGAAAAGAAGAATTTATTGCTTTAGTAAGAGGAAGAGTTTATAGATTTTATGGAGAAAAAGAATAATAAATTTTTAAAGATAATGTATAATTGTTTGTTCCATCTAAAATTACAATACCATAACCAAGAATTATGTTTATAGGTGTTAGAGGTAGTGGTCTACATACTTAATTAAAAATATTGAATAGATTATATAAGTTACCTGTTTTAGATTTGAAAGATAATTTAATTTAAAATTTAGAAATCAATAAAAAGAATAGATAACTAAATAGATATTATATGAAAGGATTTAAACCTAAAGAATTGGATGCTGATGGAAAAGAAATACCAGATCCTGAAATAACAGAAGATCCTGCTGATTTTGATCGTAAAGCTCATGAAATTGATGTATTAAATAAGATTTTAGATTGTGGAGGTGTTATTATTAATGCTAATTTCTTTGATGTTTCAGAAGAACTAGTTTCAACTCCTATTGTTGATTTATTAGTTGAAGCTAAGAAATTACCTGAATATGTTATTTTACTTAAAATTGAACCTGAAAATTTCATAAAAAGAAATTTCAATTCAAAATTTATAGAAGATGAATATTAGATGAAAATGGAAGAATTAAGATAGAAAAGATATTAAGAAAGAGTTGAGGCAAGAAATAAAGCTATTGAAGAAGGAGCTGAAGAATTACCATCTTTAGAAGCACCTCCAGGTGAAGAAGAAGATCCAGAAGCACCTAAATTAGAGGAAATGTTAAAAGAATAAAAAGATAAATTATTATAATAACACGAAGCTGATATGGCAAGAATTGAAGAATTATAAAGATAATTTGAAGAACTAAAAATCAATGCTGTTATAATTAGTACTGATACTAATATCGAAAATGTTACAGAAAGAATTACATCGTAATTAGAAAATGTTATGGATAGAGAATATAGAGAAAATATGTTAGAAAAAGAATAATGTTAAAAATTAAATTTATATCCTGATCCAACCAATTTCAAATTAAATAAATTAGATATCTATGAAAAAATATATACTCATAAATAATCTAAATATGGAAATAGAAATGCTATTACTTTATAAAATGTTCCTCATTGTAGAGATTATCCTGTTTTATATAGAAATAGAATTTATTATCTTGATAATGATGATTAAAGAGAATAAGTTTGTTAAAGACCATTTAAATATTTTTATAAACCTACAGTTCCTAATGATGTTTAAATAAAACCTACTATTTTTATTTTAGGAAAGGTTAAGTCAGGTAAAACTGAAATTGTGAGATTGTTAAGTGAAAAATTAAATCTAGTAAGAGTTAAAGTATCTCATTTATTGGCTGAATTTGTAACAAATTAAACTGATTTATTGGCAGTCAATATCAAAAATTAATTAAAAGACGGTAAAGAAGTAGATACATAATATATTATATAAATAATATAAAAAAGAATTTAATTGGCTGATGTTTATAATTAAGGATATATTTTAGATGGATATCCAAGAACTATTGACGAAGCTTTAGCGTTATCAAAAGTAGGTATTATTCCAACAGTAGTATTTGTTTGTGATAAAGATGATGAATATGTAATTCGTAAATTAAATCCTAAATTTGGAGGCATTGATCATGTTGTTCATTAAAGATTAAAAGCAAATTAAACTTCATTATTAGCATCATATTATTAATCACATTTCAATAATGTGAGATATTTATAAGTTGGATAAGTATCAAGTTGGGGTATGATTTCTTTATGTACTAAATGTGTATAAGAAAATCTTTATTCTAGAGCATTAGTGGCTAGAGCATTAATAACCTAAGAACCAGTAAGAATAAGTTCATTAACTTTGACTGAATAATAAATTATTTAAAAGTTAAGTCCATTATATAATTATTGTCCTGTATTGATAAAAGCAAAAAAGAACTATGTAGCCAGTTAACTAAGAAGTCCATATTTGTTATTTTATGATGATTAATTATTCTATGTATCAAGTGAAGATACAGAATAAGATTTCATTAAGAATCCCACTCATTATTGCAACAATTCAATTGAAAAATATAAGATACCTAGATAATTGACAGTTGGAGATAAATTTGATCCATTTCCAGAATATAAGGGTATAATATATAATTTATAATTCATAGGACATTGTCCAGTTGAATTAATCAATAATAATTTAGTTAAGGGTTTAAATAACTTAGTTATTATTCATAAAAATTAATAATAAATATTTGCTAATGCATACAATATGCAGTTATTTGAAATGAATCCTTAGAGATATAAACATGCTAGATTACCAGATAAAATGTAATTGGGAGAGTTGTAATCTGTTAAAGTATATTAAAATATTATATCAATATTAGAATATTGCTAAGAAAGTTGCAAAAAGAGGTGATTGCACATCTTATCTAGAATTACATCTCAAAAATATTATTATAAGAGTTTTGGCTTAATTAGGATACTAGAAACCTAAATATCCAACATTGTCTTGTAAGGAAACTGTCTTAAAATTTATTGCTATTTCTTTAAAGGCTAATAATAAAAATAAGGATGCCTTTTATAGGAATAAATATTAAGAAAAATTAGAGAAATTTATGAAAAATTGTACATTAGCTTAAGAGATTTAAGAGATGTATAAGATATCATAAGAAAGTGAAATAGATGAAGAGACTTTATTATAGAAAGTAGAATAATTTGATCAATTCATGGCTGAATTATAAGCAATGGAAAAACAGAAGTATTTTTAATAGTTCATCAGATGATTTTTACATTTTCATTGAATATTCAAACAAATATAGTTAATTTTTATTTTAACAAATATTGTATATAATTAATATTTTTGAATTCAAAACATAAAATGCAACGAACTCTTGAGTAAAGGTAAACCACAGAATAAATCAGGCGAAATAACAATTAAAATAATGCAGATCTTCTTCTTTCCGTTTATGAATTAACTGCAAGGTCATCTTTGTAAATTGGACAAAGACCTAGATAATAGAGTTAAAGTAGAGAGAAATATAAATTTAAATAATGCGAATAAAAGAAAGTGGATTTGATGAGTATATCATCACCAGGAAGTTAAAAAAAGCTTGCTCTGTCACCTTAGTTAAAATTATAATCTCCTAGAGAACCTGGCTTAATTTTTAATTTAATTAGAGCAGCAAATAATGCAATAGAAAATAATACTGATGATAAGATTATTAGAAACTATATGTAAATTAGAACTTAAGTAGAAATGAGAATGGTAATAAATATAATTAATAAATTAGGATGTTTTAGAATCAGCAGATTCGTTAGCAGTATAATTAGAAAAGTTTAAGTTAGAAAATGATACTTTAAGAAAAAGAGTTAGTGAAAACATTAATTCACAATCATTATCAAATTTGGCTTAATTAAAAATGCAATTACAAAAGGCTGAAAAAAAGGCAGAAGTAAATTTATTATATAATTAAAAGAGTAGAAAAGTTTGTATTAAGAAATTGTATTAATTGTTAGATAAGAGTGAAAAAGAATTAGAATTGTATAAATCAGGTAAGAAAAGTGCAAAAACATCTTTTACTAAAAAAAATGAATTAAATGAAATATTAAATAGTGCATATCCAAAAAATAAAGAAAATATATCTGAAACATATGAACCAATGTTATTATCTTTGATAAAAGATCTAGATCAAAAGAATTATGAAGCTATTGAAAATCTATCAAAGAACAATAGTCTGAATGGTGATGTTGAAAATGAGAAAAATTCCCTCATATAAAATTCATTAAGTAACAACTCATCTCTATTACAAAGAATCCTTTAAGCTTATGTGTGAATAGAAGGAAGAGATTCTTAAATATTCTGCTTAAATTTGTGAGAACAATTAAGATCTATGGAAGAAGTTCTTAGAAATTGATTTAACATGTCAGAAATAAATCTCAACTCTTAGATAAGCTATATCTGAATTAGAAACTAATATTAAATCTTATTATTAATATTTAAGTAAGATAGGCCATCATTCAGCATTAAAATTCTAAGATGCTTATCAATTTTAAGGAGTTATTGGTGATAGCATTGCAAAATGGCTTAAATAATTGGGAGAAATCTAAGAAATCATTAATTAAAGAGAATCAGAATAATATGAATTTTAATAATTCTAAGAAACACTTGTAATGAGATTAAAAGAGATTATTTAAAATAATAAAATTATTCATAAATAAAATGATTTCAAGGGCTTACTTGATGCTATTAATGATAAGTTATTCAATTAATCAGAAGAAATATTAATAATTAATAAAGAATTAAATAATACACATATAAAAGTAAAATAATAAATTGAAGATATGTAAAATAAATTTAAATTAGAATTCTAAAATTATGATTTACAACTTAAAAATTATAAAGAACTTTATGATCAACTTTCAAACACAAATAAAGAGTTATTATTAAAGAATGAAAGTTTATAAGTTGAATTTAATAGATAAGCATAAATGAGTGTTTCAGCATTATAAAATAAATAATAAGAAATTATAAATTTGAATGAGTAAACAAAAAGATTAAAAGAAGATATAACTAAATCACAAGATCTTAAATTAACTTATAATGAATAACAAACATAAATTTGTTAATTAAAAAAAGAAATAGAGAGATTAAATTAAATTATTTTATAAAATTAATTAAGATCTACTTAATAAGAAGAAAATCTTTTAACAATTATTGAATAAAATAAACAAGAAATTACTAGACTACATTAATTAATTATTGATCTTCATAGTTAAATAGAAAAATCTGATAATTAAATCTAATTATTAAAAGAGGCTGAATAAATTATCAAAGATAAAAATACTAAAGATAATCTATTAAATTAAGAAAAAATTAAGAAATTATAAGAAATTATTTCTAATAAAGAAATAGAACATGCAGCATTAGAAGAAGAATATAAAGCAATTTAATCACAAAATGTTGAATTTTATTCTCAATAATAATAAGATTAAGATACAATTAAATTAATGAAAAAAGATCTTACAAAGAATTAAGAATAATATGAATAAAAAGTTAATGAATTTATTAAATTATCTGAAAAATAATTATCAGAGATCACTGATTTATCAGAGAAGTATTAATAAACTGAAGTAGAAAGAAGAAACCAAGATGAAACTATTACAAAGCTTAAGAAAGAAATAAATAAATAAATAAATGATCATTAAAAATAAATAAAAACATTGTAAGATCAATAAAAATAATCTTAAGATATTTTATAATCAAAATTATTATCTTTTGAAAAACTCAATGAATAAAATTAGATGATCATTGGAGAATAGAAAAAGTTATTAAATGAATCTTAAGCTTAATTATAGAAAGTTAATTTAGAAAATGAAGCATTATTGTAGAATAATAGTGAATCAATGTAATCTATGAAGAATTAGTATGAATTATAATCACTAGAATTAAATTAAACAAAATAAGTTGTGCTTGATTAATAAGAACTAATTTAAAATTAATAAATACTCTACTAGGATACATAATAAGAATGTTTAAAATATAAAAAACTAATAGAACAATAAGAAATTGTTAATAAGTAAAACTAATCAGAATTAAGTAAAACAATATAAGATTAAGCAAATCTAATAAATTAATTAAAATCTAATACTGAGACATTTGATAAAAAATTTACTGAAAAAAATTTGTAAACAGAACAATTAAATCAAACTATAATTGAATAATAAGATTAAATTGAATAATTAATATTGAAATCTAAAGACCTTAATAACATTAATGAATAGAATAAAAATATAATATAGGATTTACAATCTTAATTGTTAAAGGAATAAAAATTATACCAAAAAGAATTAGAATAATTGAAAAATGAAATCCAAAAGGTTTAGAAATAAAATAATTTGGAGTAAGAATCTAAAATATTTGAAACAAATAAATAAATTTAGGAATTGTAATAATAACTGTAATAGCAAAGAGATTAATATTAAATTGTTGTTTAATAGTATGAAAATTAAATACAACTTAATAAAGATAATTTTTATTAAGATCTATAATAAAAAGAAAATTTAATTAATCAAATTAACTAATAAATGGAATAATCAATTTAAAGAAAAGAAGAAGAAAAATAAATTTTAATAGATCAAATTACAGCGCTTGAAAGTAAAATAATATTATTAGAATAAAAAAATAAAGATATCTATTCACAATCCTAATCTAATTAATAATTATATAGATAATTAATCCAATAATTAGAAACATTATAATAAGAATCTTAAAATGAATAATAAAAATGGAAAGAGTTGCTATAATAGAAGGATGAAAAAATAAGAATAATAGAGTTAAATTACAAATCTGAAATGGGAAAACTAAATGAATAATTTAAACAAACATGTTAAAAGGCAATTTAAATAGAATAAGATTAACTTAAATTGATTGATTCTTAATAAATAAAAGATTAAGAGATCTTAAATTTGAAAGAAACATTAAAATAAAAATAATATGAAATTGATTCCATTAATAAGTTATTAAATTAGAAGAATTAAGATAATGAAGAATTAAATGGAAAATTGATGTTGATTTCTAAAGAAATGATTGTTTAAAAAGATTAAAATAAAGAATTATTATCATAGATATAATAAAAATAAGAAGAAAACTAAAAAACAATGAGGAACATAAATGAATAAGACTCATTAATAATTAAATTAAAAATATAAGTGAAAGATCTTGAAAGTTAAATGAATTTACAATAAAATGAGAATATATTATAATATTAAGATTTAGTAAATAAGAAATAATAGGAATTGAATGAAGTTTAAAATGAATTAATTTTAATTAAAAACGAATATATTTTATAGTAGAATGAAAATAAAGATAAATCAAATGAGATTAAAAAATAGAATGAAGAAATAGAAAATAAGAACTAATAAATACAAGAACTTTAAGATTCAATAAGTAGATTATATGAAGTTATAAATAAAATAAATGATGAGAATAAATAATCATAAGATGAAATGGATAATTTATTAATACAAATAAAAGATTATGAGTAATAGATTTAAAATCAAATAGAGCTTTTAGATAAATAGTAAAAGTAGTTAGTAAAATTAGAGTAAGAATAAGATGAAAAATAAAATAGTTTAAATTAAAGATCAAAAAAATAAATTGAATTGATGCAGTAGATTTAATAAATGGAAAAATTTTAAATAGAGAATGAAAAGGTAAAAGAAGAATTGTAATAAAAGAATGAGAATTTGAAAGAGATAGTGAAAAGTTAATAGACAACTTATTAATAGTTAAATGATTAATATAAATTAAAAGAAGAAGAATTATTAGAATAGGGAGTTTTAATTGAATAATATTAATAATAAGTGTTACAATAAAACGAAGAGTTGACTATAATAATGGAAGAAAAATCATAATAGAATTTAAAGATTCATTAATTAAGAACCAATATTGAAAGGATATAATAGGATTTAGAAATAAAAAATATTTAGTTATAAAATAATGATTTAGAATAAGAAAATAATAAATAAGAATTGGAGAATTAGTTAAATGAGATAGAGAATCAAAATAAAGAATTGTTTATGAGATTAAATGAGTTATAAGAAGAGAATAATGATTTAGAAGAATAATTAAGAAAGAGAGAGAATGAATATAGATTAAAGATATTTGAAATAGGAGAGAAGAATCGTATTGAATATGAGGAATAGAGTAAAATAAATTAGATTTTATAACAGGAATTGTCTATATAAGAGGTAAGCGAAGATAATGTTATAAATGCTTTATCTTAAATAAAGAATGAATTTTAAGAATTATTAGACAAATAATCTTAATATTCAACATTGATATTTTAATTGTATTCTGAATTATTAACAGAAGATGAAGAAGAAGATGTTGAAAAATAGATATAAATGATAAGTAATGAAATAATAGGATTAATTGAAATTAAAGATAAATATAAGAAAATATTAAATGAATTTGATGGTGAAGGAGATATTCTCATTAAAATAAAAGAATTAAAATAAAATGAATAGAAAAAATAGAATAATAATTTATAAGATGTTAAATCAATAGAGGCATATTCATAGTTATTAGATGGTCTTATGCAAGAATTCTTACATAATAGAGTTAATTTGACTATGTAATCTATGAAATCATTATTAACTGAATAATAAAGATAAAATGTTAATGAATATAGAAAAAAGATTGGAGAATTATAAAATAAATTATTATAGGCTGAGAAATAATAAAAATGTATTGATGATACAAAATTCAATTTATAATAATATTAGTAGATTGTTGATAAATCAGAAGTAAATATTAAATATATATGATTATAGTAAAAAGCTATGTATTATGAAATGGAATGTAAGAAATTAGTATAATAAATTTAAGAGATAAAGTAAAGAATGCCTTAAAGAATTAGTTTAAATGATTTAGATTAAGATTAATCAGAATAACATAGTTTAAATATTTTGAATTTTTCATTAAGATAAGAGATTTTGTATGGAGATGATTCCTTTTTTGATAACATTAGTTAAATAAAAGATGATGATATCCATAAAAAATGCTAAGAATAAATAGTAATTAATTTATAAGATATATATTAGTTTAATTTAGTAGAGGAATGTTAATTATTACAGGAATAATTAAATATGTAGAGAGAAGATTAGAATATTGAAATTAAATGATAATTATTTATTATAATATTTTTACTTAATAATACATTGATGAAGAGTGGAAACATTAAAACAGAAGCTTAATATGCTAAAGCTAATTTTTATTATAGTGATGGAACAGGTATAATATAAGATTAAATATAATAAAGGTCGTGATACATATGTTCAATATGATAACGGTGGATTAACATTACATGCTTAGAGATGTCATTAAGCACCTGTTGGTAGTTTTATACCTAAAAAATCAAATAAAATTTATAGACCTTAATCAAGCAATAAGACTTTACATTATATTAGTAATGGAAGTGGAAGAGATAATTATATTTTGTAAATAGTATTTATTTATAAATCTTAATAGAGATTGTCATGGTGGATTAATGAATACATAAGCAGATAGTCATTGGTTAGTCTCATTTAAATAAGGATTGAGAACTCCTGAAAGAGCAAGGTAGTGATCCATACAACTTTATAGACCTCGTTCTGGTGCCAAAACACCTTAATATTCATATCAATAGAGAATTTGTAAACGTCTATCTGTTCCTAAATACAAAAACATTCCTTTTGAAAAACAATTATAAAGTCAAGATATCATATGAATAATACAAAATATATTATTTTAACAGAATAATTAATGAGCTTTCAAGAAATCTCATAGTAAATAGAAGACATGACCAATTTCCTTGTATTTTTTCATTTTTACTTTGTAGTTAGAATAAACTGATGATATTTTACTCAATGCTTCACCTACTAATAGAGAATAAATTAATCTTATTATTCATGATTAGAAAGTTAAATAAAGAATAAGTACAATGTTAAAATAAAAAGTAATTTGTTTATTATCATCAAAATAGAATAGATAATATCCACATTAATATTTGACTGTTGAATTATCAAGTGAAGACAATTATGAAATTGAACTAGATTAAGATGATATCAAATAAGTAACTAGAATTTTATATTCTAAACCTAGGTTTGTGAAAATTTTGGAGAAGTTAAATAAGTCTATACAAAAGTCAATGGTGCTATCATTATTAAATTCAATTCAGTTTTTGATGCTTTCATTGTCTATAAACTATTAAACAAACATTAAATCAAAGAATTAGATGTCACTATAAAAATAGAATTCACTAGTCAATAAGATCTTCTAGAAATCATGGAATTACAAGATTCGAATCAATAAAAATTCACTTGTAGATATGATGTTTAAATTGATAATGATAAAGATTTTCAAGTAGCTCGTAAAATTATTGGTATTAATATATTATGTATTTTAGGTGCAAAAGGATGTAATATGAAAAAGATAATAGATTAATGTCTTTTTGATTGTGATACAAAGGAATAAGATTTGGTTAAATTAAGATTAAGAGGAAGAGGTTCTGGTTATAAAGAAGGACCTGAAAAAAGAGAATCTCAAGAACCTTTGCACTTATGTGTATCATCTAAACATAATCATCTATTTTTAAGAGTATTAAAAATAATTATAAAAAAAGGCTTGCTAATTAGTGGAACAATTGTTGATAAAAATTTATGATGAATATAGAGTGTTTGGATTAAGTAAAGGAAAGAAACAGTTAAATTATAATATAAAAAAAGTGTAATAACCTTAAAAATCAGTTATAAAACCAAATTTTATGCCAGAATTACCAAACTTTAATTTTTCAAATGTAATAATATATTATTAATGATAGAATCAATTCGTTGATTTTAATAATGAAAACATGATGGGTTATTCAAATTTATCTAATTAATTAATGTGATAAAAAACATCATATATATATAGATATATATATGAATAATTTAAATTAAATCATTCTTATTTTTTTTGTCTAACAATTTAATCATCTTTATCTTTTTCATAGACAATAGTTAAGACTCCATTTTCAACAGTAAAGGTACTCCATTTTCTTTCATAGATTTCAGGAATTTTGAATGAGAGTGCAAATTCTCCATATTTACGTTCACTTCTTTCTAGTTTTTCAGACTTATAAAAACTAAATAAATAGAAATACATCATAGGGTTTTTTACGTATTCCTTTAATAATAGTGACAACATTTTAACGATATACAAGTATTTCATTTTTGGTTAATCCTGGTACATCCATATAAATAATATATTAATCAGTAGCAATAATATCAGTATTAGGTAAGAAACTATCTGGTCTAGTCATAATTAAACCACTAGAATCAATAGAGACTTAAGGTATTCTAACATTACTATCTTAAACTTCTTATTAAGTGACAATAGTTTTAACTAAGAAATCATCAGTATCTTAAATTTATAGTGTAAGTATAGTTCTAAAATAAGATGATAATTTAGTCTAATTTAAATTAATTATTTAATTACTTTACTAAATTAAATAATACTATCAACAACAGAGAATTATCTATTAACAGGAACAAATACTGCTTTTAACCAATATCTTAATAATGAGAAAACCCAGGGGTTGATTGACATTCCTAAATAGGAATCATCATTAACTAAACAAACATGTCTAGTAAATTCAGTTTTAAACCATAATACATGTTTTTCTTATAATTAATTATTAGTAGGATTTATTGATGCTACTTTAGTTCTTTAAATAGATCCATTTTAATATATTTAAGTAACTTAAGTACTCCAGACATGTTCTAATATTTCAGGTGATTCAACTTCCTTAAGATTATGTATAACAATAATTTCTCTAAAAGTTTTATTAGGAGAATTTTATAGATTTCTACTTAATCTATCTAAATATCTTTAATCAAGACTAGTAAAATCATTAACTACACAAATAAAATAATCTGATATTTCAAAAACTAGATCAGTAATGAACATTTCAGTTGCTTCTTTTTCAACAATACTTAATTCATTTGTAATTTTAACAGGTGAATAACTACCTGCAGTATCAACAAGAATCAACTATGTA